AGAATTAGTGACTGGTGGTTATTCTTGCCAGTTCTGCTTAGCTGTTAGTGGTTTGTACCATTTCATCTTTAGTCTGCTCATGACTAAATGGTATAAGGTCAGTGTTTGGAAAACTGACTGAACATTTTCTCAGTAAGTGTGAATTTGCCTTTAATATGTTTGTTTGTTTTGGGGGTAAACATGGCTCTGGTATTTCAGAATGCCTATAAAACAGCAGAAAGACACAGAATCAACTCAGTCTGCAGAGTTTTATACATAATTTTAGTGGCCTCTCTAATAAAAAGACTATTCTTTCCTCAGTCAGTGTGAATTATTAGTGTAAATAAAAATTGAGATGTTTTCTAACATAGCATCCATCAAAATGTATACCTATCTAGCATTCCTTGAGGTTTGCAATAAAATGGATTTGATATTTTACCTAGATTCTGCTTTAGAGTAACTTGGAGAGAACTGAAACATAAATAAAATGTTGCAAAATACTGACTGTTAAACAATACTCAGTATCATTGTGTGGGCATTTAGAAACAACAGATAAAAGTTGGACTGGGATGTAGATGGGTAAGTGATAGAGCACTCTAGTGTGCAAGAGGCCCTGGCTTTATCTTAAGGTGTGTGTACTCGAGTGCATGCTTGTGTGCATGTGCACGTATGTGCACACCTAGGATAATAAAGACATAGTGAAAGGATTATACTGACTGATAAGAAAACATACAGCTTTACAAACTACCAAATAATCCAATAAAAAATGGAGTACAGATCTAAATAGAGAATTCTCAACAGAACAATGTCAAGTGGCAGAAAGACACTTAAGGAAATGCTCAGCATCCTTAGTCATCAGGGAAATGCAAATCAAAACCACTCTGAGATTCCATTTTACACTGATCAGATGGCTAAAATCAAAAACACCAATGATGGCTTATGCTGGAGAGGATGTGGAGAAAGGGGAACACTCCTCCATTGCTGGAGTGCAAACTTGTACAGCTGCTGTGGAAATCAGTATGGTGATTTCTCAGAAAATTAGGGATCAACCTACCTCAAGAATCTGCAATACCTCTGTTGGCCATATATACCCAAAGGAGGCATGTTCACACCACAAAGACATTTGCTCAACTATGTTTATAGCTACATTATTTGTAATAGCCAGATCTTGGAAACAGCCCAGATGCCCCTTAGTTGAAGAATGGATAAAGAAAATGTGGTATATTTACGTAACGAAGTACTACTCAGCAGTAAGAAACAATAATATCCTAAAATTCGCAGGCAAATGGGCAGAACTAGAAAAAAACATCCTAAGTGATGTAACCCAAAACCAGAAAGACAAATATAGTATGTACTCTCTCATAAGTGGATACCAGAAATGAAGCAAAAGATACTCAGCCTACAGTCCACAACCCCAGAGAAGCTAGAACCCTCTTCCAGAAACAGATGGAAGCATATGCAGAAATCCACAACTAACCAGTGGGCCAAGCTCCTAGAGTACAATGAAAGTGAGGAAGGAGCCAAAATATGAACAAAGGAGTCAAGATCATGATGGGGAAACCCACAGAATCAGCTGACTCAGGTCTGGCAAATGGAGAATCTGCATAAGACCAAACTAGACTCCCTAGTGACAATGGTGTGCCTGGGACAATATATGAGGGCACTGGCAGTGGGTCCAAGACCTAACACTAATGCACAAACTGACTTAGTGGGGCCCATTCTATATGGAGAGATACCATGCCCAGCCTAAACACAGGGGTGTGGGGGTGGAGTTGCCTTGGTCCTGCCTCAATGAGATGATGGGACAGACTTAGTAGACTTCCTAGGGGAGGCCTTACCCTCTCTGTGGATCAGATGGAAGGAGGGGTAATGGAGGGAGTGGGAGGAAAGGAGGGAGAGGGAACTGGGATTGGAAGGTAAAAAATAAATTAATAAAAAAAATTGTAAAAAGAAAACACAGCTTTAAAAGCTGGGTGAGATTACAGGTTCATGTCTGTAATCTCAGCACTTGGAAGGGAGAGGCAGAAGGATCAGGAGTTGAGTCAGCTCCAGATGCATACCAAGTTTGAGGCCAGCCTGAACTGCTCGAGACTCGGTCTCAGCAAAAGACAACAAGAAAGTATTGTTGAAGAGTTTTTGGTAATCTGCATTGTGTAGAATTATTGGGAGGTAGGTCTGTACCATGGTGAATGGGAGTGGATGTGTGGTAAGACTCAGATAATTCTTGTTCTAGGACAGTGGAAAGCTGTGCATGATTCCTCTTTTCATCATTCTAAGTCAAACTTACGGATTCTGAAGATTAAGAGCTTCTAGAAACCTTAAAGGTCTCTAAAAGCTAACACACCTTTCCTTCCCCAGAGTACTTTAGTATCCATGTGATTTGCTCTTTATAGCAGTTAATCGCTGTGTCTCTGCACCAAGGACAAATGTATTCCATATTTCTGGGTCTTGCTTTATGTGTTGAGGCTCAAGATTCATTTCCAATGTGTCTCATTTGTCAAGCTTCATGTAACAAAGTTTGAGTAACTTTCCCAGTTGTCATTGGTTGAAAGATGTTTTTTAAGTGTTTATGTGCTAAATAGCCCTTTGACTTATTTCACCCTGAGGTTGAAATGCAAGAGGACAAGGAGGCTGGGCTCTTCAAAGTTAAGTGGAGAACAACTTCCTTAAAGTTGTTAGGGTTTTGTGTTTAGGCCCAGGGAAATAGCTCAGGGTGGAGCACTTGCTGAATATGAGTAAGTGAAGCTCTGAGTTTGCACCAGCAATGAAAAGTAACAAGGTTTTATGTCTTAGAAGTATGTGAAAATAGAGAAATGGTTGCCATCAAATTTATTTTCTTTCTCCCTTCAAAGCTATGTTTATTTAAAAGTGAAAATTTGTAGTGTTCATTGGTTTCCTTGGTATGTCAGAAATGATTTTAAAAACAAGACCTTTTATTGTGGTATTATTCTGAAAACTGAATTTCATAGAGTAATTTTGTGTCCATTAATTTTATACTTTGAGTTTTACTATTTACAACCTTAGGTCTAGACTGCCATTTTGAGAAGTAAAAAATTATATTGTTAAACTTTTTTTTTTTTTTTTTTTTTTTTTTTTTTGGGATAGGGTTTTTTTTTCATTTTTTTTTTTTTTGGGTTCACCCCCCCTCTTTTATTCTAGTTTTTTTTTTTACAGAGATCCGCCTGCCTCTGCCTCCCCGGTGCTGGGATAAAGGTGTGTGCCACCACTGCCCTGCCATTTTTAAACTTTTTTAATAATTATTTACTGTACTTATTTTTTTGAGGTTATAATATAATTCCACCATTTCCCCCTTTCCTCTCTCCAAATTCTTCCATATGCCTCTCCTTGCTCTCTTTCATATTCATGACCTCTTTTTCCATTGATTATTGTTATAATTGACTGATATGATTTCTGTTACTATTTTTAGAAAATGCTATTGAGTTTCTCAAAGTTCCTCATGGACATATATGGATAAAGTATTACCTGGAGATTTTTCCCTCCTTCTTGAGACAGGATCTCTTGTATTCTAGGCTGGCCTTGAATGCTACAGCTGAGGGTGGTGGCCTTGAACTCCTGAACCTCTGGCCTCCATGTCTCAACTGCTGAAGTTACAGGCTTGTGCCAGCTGTCTTTTATTTTTATAATTGTGCTTTCAGATATTAGCAAAAGGAATGTATTAGGAAGGTACCTTGATTTAAGAATTGTTCCTGTTCATTGTTCCTTTGGAACGCGACATACTATGTTTACCCATGTGTAGTTTGGATACTCTTAACTGGATTGACATTGGGGAGATTCATGATTATCTTTTCCTTTCGTCATCCTAGGTATGTTTGTAATATCGGCAATTTGTGTTGCAAAAAGTATTGTCATGAATTAAGTTTTCAAAGGCTCAACATACTATTTAATAAATGCTTACCATGTATGCTATACCTATGTCAGTCTTGCCTCTCTAGAATTTTTCATTTAGTTACTGTTATTCTTCTGTAAAAGTTTAAGAATTAGAAAAAGAAGCCTTGAGATGGAAACCTGCGCCAGTGAGATGGAACATGAACGGTGGAGAGTACATTAACCATAGAGAGTATTATTAGCGGGTGGGAGAGCAAGAGGGGGGCGAGAGACAAATGGGAGAGAGAGAGAGAGAGAGAGAGAGAGAGAGAGAGAGAGAGTGTATGTGGAGGTACACACTTAAAAGGGGAAGTTTGCACATGGGTACAGAGTCCTTATGCAGTCTCATAATGTGTGACATAGCCATGACAGGGCCACACAACACAGGACCCTTTGAGCTGCCTAAGTATCTTCCTGAACGCTGATCTGCTTGTCCTACCCATTGTCAGGGGGCAGGGTCAGCATACCAGGTTCCAGCAGTTACAGAGGCAGCAGAGGCACTGTATGTCTGTTAGACTAACAGTAGAGCTAGCATGTGATGTAAGCAAAACTTTGTTTTCTAGCAGTTTGAACAAATAGCATCAGTGTTCCCCAAGAAAGCATCAGAAATGCAAACTCTCAAATCTTACATCCCAACTGCTGAGCCAGATACTGGAATGAAGCTCAGCGTGCTCTGCTGAACGTATCATATCCTTCAGTTCTGCTGTCTAGTGTAGACTTGCAGTGTAGACATACATTGTAGAGAAATGGAAAGCACTGTGGCTTTACACAAGAGGATATTGAGGCTAGCTGTGTCTGTTTTGAGAATTCGTATTTGTAGAGACAATAGTGCAGTGGTCTTGGCAGAAGGAAAGTCATATGTGGAAGCATAACAACTAACCAGAGTTATATTTCTTCCAGTCAGGTTTCATATTTTACCATACAGTTTTAATTTTTTAGCCATTATGAAATCATTTATTTTTCTGGTACCACTTTGGAGTTCTAAATCGGTATGTAACATTACTTAAAGATTATCCATTGGTATGCATCCAATATGCATTATATTGACATATAATGGCATCATGCAAATAATTTACTTTTAACATCTGTTATTGAATCAGTGATTCCATATAGGGTTTGGGGATGTATATTTTATAGTAGATGTTAAACAACAGGTCTTTTAAAATATTATTTATATTTATTCCCCACATTTATTGTTTCAAGTTGTTTTAGTTATTTCAGAACTTTCCTATGTGTTTAAACAATTTATTAAAGTGTTGAATGTTCCTCATTAATTATAAACAAATAACATTTTTTACTTCTTTTGGTAGGGGTATGAATTTGCTAAAATGAATTTGCTAAATTTAAGATTATTACAGCATTGTATAATTAATGCATAAGCCCAATTATTATATAGGCAAGAATAGCTTGGTAAATATGTGTACAGTGTATTGCTAAACTTGTAAATCTAAGAAGACTTGGCTAAATCTTCATGTAGAACGAATTCTAATTGGTGTTAATAATAAAAAAAATCTGGAGTCAGATATTGGGGGAGGGAGCTGAAAGATCGGAGAAGCAAAACAGCCAGCCACTAGTTTACTTCTACCTCAGACCAAATGGGTGATCCTGTCTACACGAATCCTCAAACTGCCTAGACTTTCTGCTGCTCAGACTTCAATGAGCTCCTCTCTCTTCCTGCCTTATATTCCTCTCAACACCCAGACTTATTCCTTCCATCTCAACCTCCTTAGTGCTGGGATTAAAGGTGGGTCACTCCAAGTGCTGGGATCATCTTTGTGTAAGCTTTTTTTCTCTTTTAGACTGGATCAATTTCATGTAGCCCAGGTGGCCTTGAACTCACAGAGATCTGTCTGCCTCTGTCTCCTGAGTGCTGGGGTTAAAGCTGAGTGTCACCACTGCTTGGCCACTATGGCTAACTTTGCACTCTGTGTACACTCTGTATGGCTAGCTTGCTTTATTTGTTAGGTCATAAACAAAATATCACCACATTTTCATTCAGTGTCCTGATTCTAGCCTAGTATCGTTTGATACCAGGATGCTGGGAAAGTCCATCAGAGTTGGCTGCTATGCATCTAGCTGTGCATTATTGCCCTCAGATAACCAATAAGTTACTCTGTTTCTTTCATGTAAATTCTAAAGTGATATGGTTGAATAGATAATACTGCTAAGAGTTGAATAGGAAAACGACCTGGCAAGCCATGGGTTGTGTGACAGACAGCCCACCGACTAGTAGCAATAGGTTTCTTTGAAACCTTCGAGCATGAATTCAGAGTGTGTGTGTGTGTGTGTGTGTGTGTGTGTGTGTGTGTGTATGTATGTATGTATATATGTGTGTAAAGTGATTTTATGTCCATTGTCTAAACATGTTAATGAGGTATTATCTTCTTGATTTGCTGCTTTATTTAACTTTTTATTTCCTTAAATCAGAATTTAGTAAAATATGTATGAAATAGCATTGAAATT